TGTTTGCCTACACCGACAATGCCAGGCCAGAGAGTCGTGATCTGTGGACGAGTGCCATACAGGAATGTGACCCTAAGTGCAGAAGATGGTCATTTACACTAAAAACAAAACAAAACAAAAACCCCATTTATTATTCTGTGCTACAAGGGAGGACAAACCTACCTCACATCTCTAGGAAGGTACAAAAAGTCAGTCAGTTATCTAAATCTAGACTTCCCCTTCCTAAACGCTCCTTCTGCCTTTGGGATTTTGTTTGTTGTTTGTTTTCGAGATCTTGTCAAAAAACAATCTTATGTAGCTCTGGCTGTCCTGTAAATCACTCTGTAGACGAGGCTGGCCTTGAACTCGCAGAGATCCACCTGCCTCTGCCTCCTGAGTACTGGCATGAAAGGTGTGGGCCACCACTCTTGGCAGCCTTTGGGATCGTTGATATTAAATGATGGTAGTAGGTTGTGATTGCCAGTTCTAGAAGCAGCGTGCTGATTAAGATGACTAAATATTTAGTAGTATGAGCATCCTGGTCCTCAGGAGTACAGTTCACATTCCAACTTCTGCCCATCATTTCATCGTTATCGTGCCTTCTTGATATGTAATACCTCTTCCGATTTTGTGATTAGAAAGGCATTGTAAATATTTTACACAAAAATCCTAAGACATTTTATATAAATATACATTTCTTCTTGAGACATTGAGAAAATTCAAAGCCATTTTATTCTAATTGCAGAAGTAAAACAAAGGCATTGTACTCCGTCTCAATATGCATTCAATTGCCTTAATTTTCTGCAAACACTTATACTCAGCAAATATTTTTTCTCAGTTCATGTGTGAGCTTATTGATTTACTTAACAAATTAATCAGTTGCTTAGCTGATGTCTATTTCCTCTATGTGCATGATGGGAACAGGACTCTTTCTGTCAGAGTTCTGTTTAATATGTAGAGCCTGAAGCTAGACCCACTTAGAGAGCCGGCAGCACTCAGTCAACATTGGCTGAATGAATGCATGAATAGTAATAGATACTTCACGCTTTAGAAAAAAAGTAAATGGAAGAAAACAAATGCTAGGAATAAACCTCGTAACATTTAGCATATACTTGTTAAGTATAAATATGCCTGTAGATAGACGTGGTGTTTGCACAATGGCCCAGTGTTGCATACCTGAAAACAATGACCAGACAAGCTGGAATGAGCCCAGAGCACCCTCAGTGTCTATGGGAAAGGCTATTTTCCCCTAAAACATTTTCAAATCATTAAGATCTCTTGATGTTGGCTCTAAAGGTACTGGAAAATTGGAGGGGGAAACTTAATATTTATTTAGTCTGTAATAATTTAAAACATTAGAAGCATCAAGAATGTAGTGGGTTGTTCCTTCATAACATCTTACTAGGTTAGTGAATAATACTTGCCTTCTCACAGTGGTACATCTTATGGGACATCAAGTCTGTTCTTTTCTCTTGGTGACCATGCCATGCTCTCTAAGTTTGGATCAGCATCTGCTTTTTAGTTTCTTCTGCTATTTGTAGCAAGAAATAGCCTCTTGGTTTTCTTTAATTCATGGTCGTTGTCTTATTACTTTGCTCATGTATGTTGATGATCTTGCCTTCACTAAGTTCCCGTGTATATCCAAAGTTCTTCATATGGTGAGTGAAGGCATTGTCAACATTCCACTGGCCTGGATGTCTTCTGTATGTTCCTTACCTTTGGTTCAGAGTCTTCTTCGGATAGCACCATCTTTTGTTTGTGTGCTCCACTTTCATCTTGGTTGGCCAACTGCCTTTTTGGGATTATCTGTGCCAAGTGGATTTATCACGAGGAGACATGAAGGTATCATAACCACACACTTTGATGTCTGTGTATGCGTTGAATCCCGAGTGTTCAGTGGCCAGTCCCTGATAGATGAAAGAAATACCATGGTCAGCCAATGATCAAAACTCCCATTTGATAGTTATTCAGTGATTCACGGGTTGAAGAGCTAACAGCAAAGTGTATACTTAATGTAAGAACATGTGGATATACTATGTTAACTGAAATGTGAACTGTGCTGTTGAGGGCATAGTGTTACTTAACGAGACTGTGGAAGCTGTAATTAATACATGCATGTTGGTATGAGCAAAGTAGAACTGCCTAAACCCTAGGCTTTTTCTTGTAACATACATTTAAAAAATTATTAAAGTAGGATCAGTTTATGCCTGTGATTGCTTTTTCATTTAATTTTATGTGATTTACATGCCATAAGCTGGCAATCCTTACTTCATGTTTCATTCAGTGGTATTTAGTGGCAACCTCATACAAGAATACTTTACTTTCACTTCTTTTTGTGTGTGGGGGCGTATACATTTCTGAACACAGGTGCACATGTATGTGAGGGTACACTCTCATGTGGATGTGTTTGGAGATGAGAGGTCAACATCAAGTTGTCTTCCTCAACTGCTTCTCCATCTTCTCTTTTTTTCTTTCAAGACAGGGGTTCTCCGTGTAGCCTTGGTTGTCCTAGAACTCTCTCTGTAGACCAGGCTGGCCTCAAACTCAGAGATCTGCCTGCCTCTGCCTCACAGAGTGCTTGGATTAAAGGCATGTGCCATCGTTGTCTGGCTCTGCTTCTCCATCCTATATATTTCAGACTTGGTGTCTCACCAAACCTTTCTGTTTTGGGTAGACAGGCTAGTCAGCAACTCCTGCCTCCAATATTTGCCCATCTTCACATACTAGCACTGAAGGTACTGATGTGTACTACCATTCCCAGCTTTTTATATGGGTGTTGGAGATCCAAACTCAGTTCCTCATGCTTGTACAGCAAGAACTTGATGTAACTCAAATTTCTAAAGGTCTTTTAATAAAAAACCCACAGCCAGATATTGTGGTAAATACTAAAATATCAGAGAGACAAAGGAAAAAGCCACTGCCACGTCTCCCCTCGCCAGTTCCACAAATCCTGTTTGAATGTCCCTGAGTTTTCAGCTGAAAGGGGTCCTCTCAGCCAAAAGGCTTCAGCCCTAAGAGCCTACACAAAAGGTCTCTAGTTCCTGTCTCCTCATGCCTTACATACCTTTCTTCGCCCAGCCATTAAAGGCGTGTATGCTTCCCAAGTACTGGGATTAAAGGTGTGTGCCACCACTGCCTGGCTCTGTTTCTCTCTAGACTGAATCAATCTCATGTAGTCCAGGGTGGCTTTGAACTCACAGAGATCCAGATGGATCTCTGCCTCCTGAGTGCTAAGATTAAAGGTGTGTGCCACCATTTCCTGGCTTCTGTGTTTAATCTAGTGGCTTGTTCTATTCTCTGATCTTCAGGCAAATTTATTAGGGTATACAACATATCACCACAACTTGAGCCCCTGAACTGTCTCTCCAGCCTCACTTTTTCCCCCCCTAATGTGGAGGAATTGAAATGCAGATTGTGAGCATGCTAAGCAAGAACTCTATAATGGAGTCACATCTCCAGCCCCTTCGACAACACAGTTTATGCCTACATGGTATTTTGTTGTATATTTGTATCATGCTTTATTTAACCCATCCTCTTTTCTTGATATTTAGGATTTAAATTTTTCTTAATTATAAACAATGCAATTAATTTTATATTAAAACATTTGAAATAACTAATGTTTTTAAATGGGTAATTTTAGTAGAAGAACTTCTGGCTTATAAAAATATACTTTCAAAACATTTTCATATACTTCTCAATTTTCCTTTAGAAAGTATTTTGTGCATGGTTCTACCAGCATGAGATTCTGGTGATGTGATTGTATGACTCCTAAATACTGGCCAATGTCATTCTTTCTCCATCATTTCCATTTTAATAGATAAAGCATATATTTTATTTAATGATTAGCTTTTGTTACTGAATTGGCTATTTGTGAATTTGTTTGTAGTAATTATATTTTGGTTGGAGCTATTATAGTCTGTCCCTCATTTCTATAGATTTCAGATGGTAGGGACTTACATGTTTTTCTAGGCTGTTTGACATGTACATTTCTGTGTGTGTGTGTGTGTGTGTGTGTGTGTGTGTATATATATATATATATATATATATATATATATATATATATATATAGTGCTTTCCAAGCACACACACACACACACACACACACACACACACACACACACACACACGCACACACACATATATGCATGCTCACCTGTGTATAATATATATCAGGTTTGCTTTCACATGGATTTGCATTTGCCCTTGGTTTTACTCAGGCCTATGGAAGTCTGCATGAGCCTTAGTTTTGTAATGTGACCTCCAAGTGCTCCTCTTTCTTTCTCTTGAAAGAGAATAACCCACAATCTGGGTGAAATCCTAGTTAATTTTTCATTACACGATTTCAGGAGACAGGGTCAAAAGGAGCTAGTAGGCCATTCAATTATGTGCTTAAGTGTGTTGGAAAATGTTCTTCTTCTTTTTTTTCCTCCCTCAGGTGTACAATATTTTACTTGGGCTTGTTTTTCAAGTGCATTGAGGTGTGACTAAACATTTTTAGATACTGCCATTTTGTAAAGAAGAGATCCCATCTTGTTAAATATTCCTTCATCAGCTTTATAGTTACCCAGTCACAGGCAGCGAGGGACCTGCGAGGGCAGAGGGAGGGCAGGTGGTTGGCCTGAGGGATCTCAGGATTGGGGTGCTTGGTTGTCCCTCCTACTGCTACTGGAAGAAGTGATTGGTTCAAGCTGATTTCTGTCTCATAATTTTGGATAGGTCATAAGTGAGGGGGAGGGGAAGTCATGAGGTTGGACCTCAGCTCATCTGAGGGCTCAAGGTTCTTTCTCATAAACCACACAAGACTAGATAGCTAAAACAGGTGGAGAACTAAGATACAGATTGGCTCACAGGAATAGAGAGAGGCTTTGATTTCTCTCTGGCTTTAAGTTGAAGATAAAGGATGTCCACTGACATTGTGGAAGGGAAACCCAATAACCTTGGGGAGAGAGGAAGAGCTCGAAGCTCCACTTTCCTCAGGGTCTTCCAGCCAATGTTTAACCACAGTATTTTCACTTCTGCAGTCTCTCCTGCCGCAGAACGCATCCGATTCATCTTGGGAGAAGAAGATGACAGTCCGGCGCCTCCTCAGCTCTTCACTGAACTCGATGAGCTGCTGGCTGTGGATGGGCAGGAGATGGAATGGAAGGAGACAGCGAGGTGAGCTATGGCTGACAGAATGCAGGGCTGGCCTGGGGAAGCAAGTGCAGGGCAAATGGATGAGCCTTAATGCTGCCTTCTCCAGCCTCAGGATCAGGTGGCTGAGGGGGTGATGCTGGGTTGAGAAGTGGATAATTCTGTTCCTCTGTCCTTGTACATTAATGAGGATGCAGAGTACCTCTTGCTCACTGCTGGAGCAAATTTTATTAACCAGGGCTGCAGGAATTTGACTTTTGTTTATAATGAAGTCAATCTCAATTTATAGGCTATTTAATGGTAAAATATAAGGGTGGTAATAAACTCTAGCACCCAAAGGCTGTGGCCAACACACATGTCTACACAGCTCTACATGCAAACATATCTTGTGTGATCTTCGGTGACATTACCCATTCTCAGATAGAAGGGGTACTGGGGAGACCATTGTGGTTCTAAGGTATAATTTCAAGTAAAGGCCCTGGTATCTTCTAAATTTTCAGCCGAAAGCAAGTAGAAGGTTCATCTGAATTTGGAAGTTAGATATCTCGGTTTAATTCTATACTCTGTCCCATTAGTTACACGACCCTGTTTCTTAATAGGGTGGATAAGAACACTTATTATGTAGACATATAAAATATACACTATATAGATATAATATGTGACATATGTATAATCATATCACGAACATTTGTGTGGAGATGATTTGTAGATTGTTCAATACTTTGCAAGTTTCTGGGATTTTAGGAGTCACGTCAGAGATTTTCTTTCATAGAGATTTAGTTACATATTCCAGACTAAATCAGTCTGCACCGGAGTCTATAAAGCGTCCTCCCAAAGGAGGCTGCTGGAGCCAAGGCCTTTTCCCAGTAGCCATTTGTTCCTTTCTTTCTTCATGGAACGAGGCTCACACTCTGCAGGTTGAGAAGTCTTAGTCTACTGTTGGCTTGGCTCTTCATTAGTCAGCTCAGCTCAGTAGGTAGTCTTCCTGAGCCTCAGTTTCCTAGTCTGCCAAGAGAGGCTCTTACAGGATTCCCTCTCCTCTAGCATCGCACATATTTTCTTGCTCTAATATTTCTTTCCTAACGCGTATGTGGTTTTAGTCAGCAGTGCCTCTAACGGCTCCTTTGATTCTTCCTTTCCTGTTGAAATATTTGTTAATAGTTATCATTGACAAGAACACAGGGCTGGCTTTGTTTTTTATTTCATTTCTTGTCAAACGTTGGCTACCCATTAATTTACATGACCCCTGGTCTCAGCAAGGTTAAGAAATGACATTTCATTGTATAGACAACTCAGTGTTGAATGAAATGGTTATGATATTTCCATTTTTGATTTATTTTGGTCCTGGGAGGATGTCAGGTGTTATTCTGTAGCCCAGGCCGGCCTTGAACTCATGGTGATTCTCCTGCTTCAGTCTATTCAGTACTGAGATTACAGGATTGAGTTATGATGCTTGGTCATATGGGATTCTAAAGACCAAGATGGCCTCACTTTCTTTACTATCTTTAAAGTATGTTTTAGGCAGTTATGTTCCATTTTGGTAATGCAATCCTACAGAAATGATACTTCTGTAGAGGAAGGGTGTCCAGGAGAAAACTTGGGATTATTTCTCCTATTTAGGGATCATTATGATTATTTCTAATTGCATTTCTGATATTGCTTTCCTTATGACATAAATTCATTCAAAGTCAGAGATCGCCCCGTCCTTCTTACTATAGTATTCTCACAGCCTTGAAATACCTGGTTTGCCCATAAATATGTGTTGAATATTTGACTAGTGGAGAACCAATTGCTCTAAAAATGACTATCCTTTTTTTTAGTTAACATATAAATTAATAGTGTTCATTATGACATTTCCATACTTGTATATAGTTGTATTTTAATAGAAAGTAAGTGTTTTGAACATAATAGTTATCATCTCTTTCTGCTGTGGTCTGACAGACTCAAGGTACCCAACACATCAATGCTAAAGCTCAGGAGAGGTCCTGTGCTTCACATTTCAAGCTATTTCGTCAATATGCTGATGGCATCTGCATTTATATCTCTAGGCTTTCTTCCTTATTTAATTGGCATTGAGTAATTGGAGGGATATTAGCAGTCATATCATTAAGACATCGAGACCTGCTCCTCCTACAGGTTTCTCCATCTCAATACATAACTTCATTCTTTTGGATACTTCAGCCAGAACACCCGAATCTTCCTCGTCTCCTACCTTACTTACACTTGTATTCTGATCAATTGGCAAATTTGATTTCACCCTCTGAAATACTCAGGTATTTCAGCATCTCACCACATTTCCTGTTCAATACTGCTTCAGGCCTATTTCTGGCTCTGCAAGACCCTTCAATTAGTTGGTCTTCTTATACCTGCCTTTATTTTGTTCATAAACTATCTACCCTGAGTTGCTCGAATAGCCTTCCATCTCTTTTCCTCTAGTTCAGCCTACCAGAGCCCCAGTGGCCAATTGTACTACTCTTTGAGGGACTCTGTACTTACCCCCTCTTTGTACCCATGCACCCCTCAGTTCTCTACATGATTCACTTGCTTACCTCCTTCAGGTTGTTACTCATATATTACCTGACTTTTGAGCTGAGACGTTCACCTATAATACCTATCCCAGGTCCTCTATTATGTTTTTGACCTTTGTACTTCTTACTATTTAATGTATTATCTATCTTGTTATTATGTCTTCCTGATATAGGTAAATCTCTGAGAGGGCAGGGATTTCACTTACCTTGTTCAGCACCCTGTTCCTTATGCCTAGAACTATCTGCTTCACAGCCATCTCAAGGATCAGGGTGTGATAGATGAATGTGTAGAGAAATGAAATCTTGGTTCTCAGTGTGCTGTCCCATCTGAATTCTGTGGAGAGGTTTGGCAGTAATTATGCTTCTGGGAATATTTAGATTGCCAGTAATCTGTACTTCTTGTGACATACACTGCGTCAGAATGCTTTTGTAGTGATGTTTGACTTCCATTTGTGATGTGCGTTTTCCAGCCACAAGAAAAATTTCCAACCCCCTATTAAATGGCCTCAGACCTCCCAGATGAATAAAATTTAAGTGCCTAGAAGAGAGTCATTTCATATGTGATGATGTGGCATGGATTATTTTTTTTTCTGGCTAACAAATATGTTTGACACTTTTTTTCTTTCCCCTGAAAATTCCAGTTGATAGAGATTTTGTTTGGGCTGTGTGTGGTAGGGTGCTGGGAATCCAGTGTCTCACACACACTAAACACTGCTGAGTTACATGCACCCCACCAAGCACTGATGGCTGGCAGACAGTTTTATTTCAAAGAGAGCTAACTCTCTAGACTTTTCAAACTCGATGTAGTTTCTGGTGTGGGCCTATATACCACAGAACAGATGTCATTACTTTTTTTTTCTTTAAGGTTTTGTACTTTTCAGTTGGCTAATGATTTTATTTAACTAAGAATATTCTTTTTTTATTTTATTTTTTTTTATTTTTTTTTTATTATTAATTTATTTTGCAATACAATTCAATTCTACATATCAGCCACGGATTCCCTTGTTCTCCCCCCCTCCCGTCCCCCTCACCTTCCCCCCAACCCCCCCCCCATTCCCATCTCCTCCAGGGCAAAGCCTTCCCCACAGACTGAGGTCAACCTGGTAGACTCAGTCCAGGTAGGTCTAGTCCCCTCCTCCCAGGCTGAGCCAAACAATCCTGCATAGGCCCCAGGTTTCAAACAGCCAACTCATGCAATGAGCACAAGATCTGGTCCCACTGCCTGGGTGCCTCCCAAACAGATCAAGTCAATCAACTGTCTCATCCATTCAGAGGGCCTGATCCAGTGGGGACCCCTCAGCCATTGGTTCATAGTTCATGTGTTTCCATTCATTTGGCTATTTGTCCCTGTGCTTTATCCAACCTTGGTCTCAACAATTCTCGCTCATATAAACCCTCCTCATTCTCGCTAATTGGACTCCCAGAGATCCACCCGGGGCCTAGTCATGGATTTCTGCATCCAGATCCCTCAGTAGTTGGATGAGGTTTCTAGCACAACAATTAGGGTGTTTGGCCATCCCATCACCAGAGTAGGTCAGTTCGGGCTGTCTCTCGACCACTGCCAGCAGTCTGTTGTGTGGGTATCTTTGTGGATTTCTGTGGGCCTCTCTAGCACTTTGCTTCTAAACAACCCAGATGCCCTTCAACTGAAGAATGGATAAACAAAATGTGGTACATATACACAATGGAATACTACTCAGCAGAGAAAAACAATGGCATCATGAGGTTTGCAGACAAATGGATGGATCTAGAAAAAATCATCCTGAGTGAGGTAACCCAGACTCAGAAAGACAAACATGGTATGTACTCACTCATAGCAGGATACTAGACATGAAACAAGGATGACTTGTCTGCTACTCACATCACCAGGGAGGCTACCTGGAAAACAGGACCCCAAGAAAGACACAGGGATCACCCAATGACAGAGAAATGGAATGAGATCTACATGAACAGCCTGGACATGAGTGGGGGTAATGAAAGGCGAGGGTTGAGGGAAAGAGAGCTTGGGGGAGCGGGAGATCCCAGCTGGATCAACAACAGAGAGGGAGAACAAGGAATAGGAGACCATGGTAAATAAAGACCACATTAACTAAGAATATTCTATGGCAAGTTTCAGCATGATTGTGATTTGAGTCCCACTTTAGGAATTTTAGGTTGGTTCTGTTCCTCAAAAAATGACAGTTTTTTTTTTCAGTAATAGAGAAGATGGCCTTTTTGAGTCTGAGAAAGTAGAGTGGTTATTAACAGCAAGAGAAGCCTTTACTAATGTGAGATTTAAAGTGGCAGTCAGCTCCATTGTCTTCCTTTTCCCTTCCTCTCCTCAAGCCCCATTTTGTCTTTCCTAGAAGGTAAGGTAGAACTTTGAAATTTCCAGTAGCTTTTTCAAAATAGCGCACAAGCTGAAGACTGTGCAAAGGGTACACTTCTCCTCCTTGAAAAGTATGTTTGATGGATGGAGATGCAATGTTAGTCTTTTTAAAGTGTTCTTTCGGAATG